AGCAGTACAGCATTAATCTTTAATCAAGTTTGAGAATAGCAAGGTTCCGGAAAAACTTAAAGCCACTGAAATAGTTAAAGATAAAGGTCCATACTGCATTTGCGAAACCATAAATTAGTCAATAGAATGAGTCTTTGTCATAAACCGCCTCCTAATGGGTAAATTTTGTGCTAATGAATGAACCTAAGATAAGTCGTGCTTTTCGTCTTTCGATTGGAAGGTTGCTAGCCTTTTAAGTATAAGAAAATAAGAGGTTAGAAATTAATTTGTACCAAATCGGTATGATCAGATTAAGAATTCGGCTATAAAGATTCTTTTGGGATTTATTAGAGAACTCGAAGGCCACTTAAGGTATGTATATCAAGGTTCTTTCGCAAGCATCTTTTCCTAACTTTACCTGTTATTTTTACAAAGAAAAATTAAAAAACAAAAATCCCACGAGAACCTGGAAAACAGTATATTAAATTGGTGTATTACATAGTGAAATTTATTACGCAAAACACAGAATTGAGCGGTTCAGATGATTATGATTGTTCTAAAACAATTTTAAAGGCCGATGCCAAAATTTGTGGTTTTTTTCGCATTTAAATCTAACATTCATATGTTTGTACATATTTTTGATTTCTTGTCTGCTTTGCTTATTTTTATTTGCTTTGTTAAGGCTTTATTTCTTTATTTACATTCACATCACATAGAGCACATATGTATGCATACATACATATGTAAATTTGTATGCTCATACTAAATAAATAATATTTTGGTGAAAAGGAAATAAGCGTTTTATTGTTATTAGTTGCGTTCCCCTACTCGGTTCTCTGGCAAATGAATGGGCAAATGTGGATGTCTGTGATGTTGGCATACATAATAGCGCAAAAACAAACAAAACAAACACTGTTCTGAGTTCAATATTTCTAGAGTTAATAAAAAGCAAAAACAAAAAGTATTCAAAATTACGCAAAAAAAAATGTGTATTCAAAAAATTATATTTCAGTTTTTAATAACAAGCTATATACATATGTATGTATGTAAATTTGCAGATTTCGCACATACGAAAATTCAATAAATAAAAGAATTTATGTATCGTTCGCACATGGATATATAAATCTGGATATAAATATTTCTTCTTCTTTTCTTATTTTTTTCCTTTCAGAAAGTCTAGAGCTATTGACAAGCTGAATGTTACAATTATAAAACAATTTTTAAAGTTATAACACGGAACGCCCCATAAGAAAGGAAAAATAAAAGAGCGAACTGATCTCGAAATAGTCCTGGACAATCCTCATCCTTTAATCCTTAAAAAATTTTTTCTCACTCATATTTATAATGAAAATACTTTTATAATTAAGTCTTTGACGACTTAAAAATATTTACTTCACTGATAACACAGGTCCACAAAAAAAATCGATGAAAGGTTCCTTTGACCAAACCTTTTATATGTTTTTGGGGTCGCTGAACACGAATCTGAAGTCCGTTTTGCTCCATCACGTCTGGATTTTTTCCTAACCTCAAAAAAGATCTCGGATTTAACGTGACGGAGAAATGTAGACGTGATGGAGCAAAACGGACTTCAGATTCCTGTTCAGCGACCCCAAAAACATATGACAGACTAGGTTTGGTCAAAGGAACCTTTCATCGATTTTTTTTTTGTGGACCTATGTAATTATTATACAAAGACTTTCGTAATATACGTAAATCTAAAAATATTTGTTATCGATGACTTTAAACATTTTTCTCGCACATAATTATTAACAAAAGGCTTTTATAATTCTCACGAAAATTTTTATGAGTTTTTTTAAAACTCCGCTATAAAATTATTATTATTCTAGGTCACTGAAAAAGATACATTTATTTTAGTAATATTTTGTTAGCAAGAAAAAGGAAAAAATATAAACTATGTAGTTTTATAATGTGAAAAATTATTGATTGATTTTTTTTCTTCGGTTGAATTTTTTTGGCTTTTGTAATTTTTGTTTTCTCCAAAATCTAAGTATAGAGTAAAAATTTGTGAAGTGGGCCACCATTTTTTCTATGGTAGAGTTTCTTTTTGAGGAATTAATTAACAATAAAAAAAAAAACAAAATTTCAAAATTTTCGAAATTCGAATTATTTTGGGTGTTATAGCTATTGACATTCTTCGAAATTGTTTAGATTTTATTTGTTATTTCGATGATTTTTATTTTTTATTTTGTCACAAAATTTATTTTAAGTTATTAACAAATTTTAAAATATTATTGACTTCTCAATCGCGTTTTGGGCTATTCATGTGGTACATTCCATTAAAACTTAATTTCAGAAAATTATTCGGACTTTTCTCAACATCATCAAGAAAATGTCAAATGTGTAATATATTTGGATTCAAGCGAGATGAATTCGTGGTAATTTTCAATCGAAAATAAATGCTTTATCTTTTGGCAAAAAAAAAACCTCTTCCATAAAATCCGTTCTCTGGTTATTACATTTATTATTATTTTTTTTAATTACTGGACGCGAATATAAAATAATTTTTATTAAAATCCAGGAACCGTAACATTTATGATAATAAATATAATAAAAATCAAGATTTAACCATCAAAATTTCATTTTAATTTTTCCTATCAAATTTTTCGTTGTTTAGTGGTTTTTATTTTTTTGGTCAGTTTTTGATGGTTATTTTTCATTTTGAGTTTTTCGTTATTGCAGCCGTTATTTTTAGATTAAGGTTTTTAGATCATAAAACATTTAAATCGGTCAAGCTATTTTCAGACCCTCTTAAGAATATTAGGATGCACTTTTTTTGAGTTATTGAATTTCGCACAAAAGAAGTGCCTGCTACGTATTTTGGCTGCAGCTGAGCATGCAGAGGTGCTTGTTACTTATTATTTAATACTTGTTAGGTTCCCGGAGGTTCTGGTTTCAATCACCGTCTGTCGAAACATTAAAATGATAATAAAAAGTGTTACAATTTTTACTTTCTGGATGCAGTTGACTGTGTTTTGTTTTACAAAAGTGAATAGTGTCACAAAAGTTAATAATGAACATTGTAATATATTGAAAAAATTTACTATTTTTCGGGCGAATTGAGATTCGAAAAAAATGTTCAGTACTATTCATAGTTTTTAAATATATTTCGCGAAAGAAAAAAAAATATTATTTAGTTTAGTTCCCATTTTACAAACTCAGTTAACCACTGCCAATACGTTAACAATATAACGGGCGCTAACTAACGGTAAAACTTAGAGTTTATAAAATTTTTGATTGTATTTTTGAAATCAACGAGCCAAAATTAGCCGGGATACAAATTTTTTGATTTTTAACTTCAACGGTTGATTTTTAGTACTGAAAGGGTTAATATAAAAGCTAGACCCTTTGTTTCCGACGTGTATTCTAACAAAAAAATCTCCAAACAAAAATGTGTTTAAAGTAAAAAAACAGATCGCTTGGCGCCAAATCATATCGGTTGTATTTTGAAACAAACGCGATATGGTAAATTTTTTTTTTTTTTTCAGTGTAAACATAAATGCATTCAAGCGCTTCGTTGGAACATATTAATCTTATGTATGCATTTTTTGGAGCTGTAACTTAACTGCAAAACTTTTTTCCTCGACCTAACCTAGTGAACCTCCTATCGTAGCAAAGCTTATGGAAACGAACACACTGTAATAGCTTCAAACCTTTTTTCGTATCAAATAATTTCTTGGCTATTTGATATGCTGGTTTTGTTTTCAAAATTAACGATGATATATCAATTATAAAATTTGCAATAACATTTAAAAGAGTTCGGCGATAAACCGGAATCAGGTTTTTGCTTTTTGAAGTACAAATGTAATTGTACAAAATTGAAGAGAACAAATTGTCCTTTACGTTTGCTTCATACAGCGTGACACGGCCTAATGTTCCCGCTACATGTAGCAAACCAACACGCGCCCGAGCATTGTTGACGAAGCCAGTTGTAGTTTTCATTGTAAATATTATTTTTCCAATTTATGAAAGTAGCAAATACATACATACATAAATACACATTCGCACAATTGTGTGTGCTTTGGTGAGTATTGAATCATTTGTGCCAAAATAAAAGAAAATTTGAGGAATACGCACACAAGAGAAAAGCACAAATCAATTAGAAACACACATTTTATTATATTAAGAGGAAATATGGAGATGAAAATTAGCAAATTAAGCGAATAACAAAAGCGAACTTAGTAAATGAACTAAATAAGACAACGCGATACAGGCAATCAACGCTGAACACCGCGCGCATTTTGTGCAACAATTCTAAAAGTGCGGAAAATATTTTGCAAGCAAAAAATAAATAAATATAAACGATAATCGATTAACTTTGGGTGTTATAGAAAATAAAAACCAAAAAAAAGAAGAGTTATTTATTATTTATTAAACAAAAAAAAAGTGTGCTAAAAAAGAGCGCGGAAAATCAAACAAAGTGAGTTGCATATTAATATTCTCATTATTTGTAAACGAAGAACAAACAATTGTGTTTAAATTAAATTTAAAAACAATGGAGACAAAGCAAAGTGGCACAGTGGTCAACAACATTTCGGTGTATGTACATACATACATATGTATGTAACTTTGTGCGAATGTTTTTAACTGGGCAATTAATTGCCTTGCCTTGGCTTCAACAGTTGCACGCAGCAAATAAATGCTTCGCAGCCAACTCATTTGCTGATCAACAGCTGGCTGGGCACTATAAAACCAGTGACTGCTGCCTAGCTTTCCCCACTGTCAACTGTCATCAGCAATCGAAGTCAAATCAAACGCCCTCACCACACTCCACCACTATATCTCATTTTGAACACAAAAAAAAACACAAAAACAGGCACTTCAATTCGATTTTCACAACAAAAGCTATCGAGAGATAGTGATAAGTAAACGAATCCAGACAAGTGATTACTTTAAAGTGTTACATAAATTAAATAAATTTTGGATTCCAAAAGTAGCTAAAATTAGGATGCAACAAAGTGAAGGCACTGTAGACCGCTGCTAAGATTCCAGATTTTACTTACTGATTAGGCTGTTCGTTTGTTTGTGCTGTTGATCTCTGTTGTGGTTCCTCTGTTAAGTGCAATTAATAAAATATGTACATATGTTTGTACTTAGCACTAATATTTAATTGCCGTCTGTCGGTTGTTTACGCTATGTGTACTTCACTCTGTATGTATGTATGCACTGCAATCTACAATCTACAATTTGTGTTATTGTTCCAATGCGCTTCGGTTTTCAATACTATTTAACAGCAACAACACGCAATGTCAGCCTGGTTACAAGCATACATGCATATGTACATATGTATGTACATATGTATTCACGAATGCAATTTTAAACAAAATATTTTTCACTATACGAAAAAATTCCGCAATTTCTTGACTTTTCTTTCAAACAACAACAAGGTCATTTATTCAATTTGTATACAAATGCACTTGTAATATTTTCCATGTAAAGTATGGCCTATTATCAATAATTAATTAGTTAGTAGCGAATTGCGTAAAAATCTTGAAGCACAAGCAAATACAATAAACCTCTCGCACTTAAGCAGACACTCGATGAGCAATTTCTACAAATCAGCTGTTTGTGAGCTTTTTTTTGCTTACCTCTGGTGGAGGAGCAGTTGGAGGATTGGCGCAAGCATATGAGCAATGCGAAGAAGCTCATCTAGCGGTCGTTTAAAAGGTAGTATGTATATTAAAAAGCTAAAAGCTAGTCAAATAAGCATTTTGTGCTGGGGGAAATAGTTTGAGAGTAACTGGGACAAATGTGGGCTTACTGACATATACACTTATGGCCATGCAAATCTAACCACCACTTTAAAAAAAAAATGGGGTAGAATATCATAAATTATTAAAATAATATTTTTTTTTGTTTTTGTTTTAAAAAGTTAAGAAATGTTACTAAGTTTAATATTCAACAGTGTATAATAATTTTCATGTAAGAAAATACAGAATATGCAGTAATGGAAAAATTAATATGGATACGGAATTTTAACATGCTTTGGCTATTCTCTTATTTTGCTAATATTTATTATTGTCTTAGTATATGCAGTAAAAAAAACTGTGGTGAAGTCCTTTATGGGGATAAAGTTTCCAGAGGTTAAATTTTAGGTAGCACACAATTTCTTACACGCACGGTTGCTCTGCAGCTCTTATGGAATAAACTTTAGAATTTATATTAGAATAAAGTTTCGTTTAGTGCATCAATTTTACGAATAAACACAAATATATGGATTTACTTTAATTAATAAATATCAAAGAAATTCTAAAGTTTGATGATAAATTTGTTACAAATTAGCATTGCTATCGGAACGCTCTGAGCGCTGCCGCTGAAAAGTTGCTTTTCGTACAAAAACACCCCTGGCCCTCGTTGTTGCTGTATCGCATCGGGGTGAATTTACATTTGCATGTAATTTGCTTGTGCCAAAAGGTAAATAAAGAAACAAAGCTATTATTTAATTAACTTACAAGATTTTCGAGTTTTCTACTCTTCGAGCTTAAGAGAATCCCCCTATTATTTTAAATAGGGTTCTGAGGTACTGAGTAGTTATGCTAAAATCAAGGCGATTCATAGAAGGTGGTGTTGCTAGAATAGCTGACTGGATTCGTCTCGGTACACAAATGTCAAAATTTCATATGTTGCTTAAGTGCGTGAGTGATTACGAGAAAGTGTTCGAATTTTCTTTTTTTCTTCATACTTGAGAGAAGAATAGCTGAAATTTGACTTTTGTATGCCTTAAGCAAAAACAAAATAGGTGAAAGTTTTTGTTTTGTACTACCGTGGCTTGGCTAAAATATTGACAATATTTTTTATTTGTTTTTGTTATTTATGGCCTTATAACAATTATATACATACATATATTTTTCATTAAAGACGGCTTCAAGCTCAATAAAAATGTTTGAATATAATTGTTATAAGGCCATAAATAACAACTACAAATAACTTAAGGACGGGCACACCAAAAAATTAAACATTCTTAAAAAGTGGAAAAAGCAACAACAGTTTATAAGGCGAACTTAGCACAGTGCGTAGGCAACTGGCTGAGTCAGCTGGGGTCGTCGGTTCGAATCCCGCTGAAGAAGTCTGATGAGGAAATGTGGCGATTTCCGAAATAGCTATCGCTTCTACAATTTGTTCAAATTGTTGTTGCTTTTCCACAATAGTTTTTCATTAAAAACGGCCTCAAGCTCAATAAAAATTGTTGAATATAATATTTTTATTTATCAACATACTTTTTTCAAAAATTTGAATCTTCATTTTATTTCAGTGAATGCTGAGGTGCTGAGTAGGCTAAAGTATCAATGCATTTTTGTCGCAATACGTTTTTTAAGTTTTTTTACTTCGATGAAATTATGTACAGTGCCGAACAGAAGTATTGGCACATTGAATTTTTCGCAATATCTGCAAAGTTCTTTATTCAAATTTATTTTCGATAATTTTTTATAAAAATATTGTTCATTCTACACCAGAAAACATAACAATAAAATCTCTAAACTTTGTGCAAAACTCAGGAAAATTCATTAAATTTGCACACTGATTTGCAACTTTTTATTCAGATTTTTTAGAAAAATTCTAAGTATGCAGTTTTATGGCTCGCTCAAATTTAGTATAACAAAGTGCAAGTTTGAAGTCGCTAGAAAATCGCATTGATTTTTGGTAATTTTTTTTCACGCAAGTTCTTCCATACAAAGTAATTCGACAATTATTTTTTGTATAGAGAAAATGAGCAACACCTTCCACTAAAAAAATTGCCAAAAATCAACGCGATTTTCTAGCAACTTTAAACTTGCACTTTGTTATACTAAATTTGAGCGAGCTATAAAACTGCATACTTAGAATTTTTCTAAAAAATCTGAATAAAAAGTTGCAAATCAGTGTGCAAATTTAATGAATTTTCCTGAGTTTTGCACAAAGTTTAGAGATTTTATTATTATGTTTTCTGGTGTAGAATGAACAATATTTTTATAAAAAATTATCGAAAATAAATTAGAATAAAGAACTTTGCAGATATTGCGAAAAATTCAATGTGCCAATACTTCTGTTCGGCACTGTATAAATAAAAGTAGTCCAAATAGACATAATTTCATACCAAGCGCTGATCTTTTATTTAATTTTTAAAAATCTTAAAAAATATACTTATGTATGTATGGACTCCGAGCAAAAAAGGGATCGATCACCCTGATGCGTTTTTTATAATTTCAGAAACTTTTCTTGAATGGCGCTTCTACATTCTATTTTTACGTATTTATGTATGTATATACATATGTATATTACTTCAGATACAATTGGTTATCGATGTACCAGGCAATCTAGTTTTTCGGCTATATTTTTATTCAGTTTACTACAATATAATACATACATATGTATGTATGTATGTAAAACTCACTGATTTACACCAATCTTGAATAAGATAACGTAGTAAGCAGGAAGTCGTGAATATGTAGTCTGCATTGCGCGTTACTGGCTGCACTGATGATTTTTTGTTTTCTTTCTTTGAGGGCCACTAAAACAAAACATTATTTATGTATGTAAGTATTTGTTTTTAATTTTGTACCAACTGGAAACTTCTGAAATTATTTATGGCAAAATTGACGTTCAAATATTTCATCATAAATACACACATATTTACATATATTAAATCAAGTGATACATTATGCCCGGTTTACATTATGCCAGTAACAACCCAATCCAGCGCTGCTGGCTCCTCTACGCCAGTTGTGCAGAAGCCAGTGGAATGAAAATCAATTTTTAGGGGCACAATAACTAATGGATGAGTTTGATAAGGAATCAAACATTATTAAATCGTAAATCATGTAATTGGTTACAACTGTTTCATGGCTTTGTCATGAAATCTTCGTGAATAGTATGAACATATGTTTAATTTTTATACTCAAGCGCACATGTGCACAAGGGTATTATAATTTTGTTAACATAACGGTTGTTTGTAACAGCCAAAACGAATGTATACATAAATGATCAGAATGAAAAGAGAATTCGATTAAGCGGTGACTGTCTGTCCGTCCGTCCGTCCATGTACACGATAACTCAATCAAAAATTGAGATATCTCAACGAAATTTGTTATCTAGGTTGCCCTTCACCCAAGGTAGGTTGGTATTGAAAATGGGTGAAATCGGACTGTAACCACGCCCACTTCCCATATAACGGTATTTTCGAAAAATGCAAAAACTACGATATTTCTGTAAATATTCAATCGAAATTGTTGAAAATTAGTATGTGAAGTGGAGTTATGGTAAAAACTAACATTATTGTAAAATTTTTGAAAAATGGGCGTGACCCCGCTTACTTATGATAAAATGCTGTATCTCTGTAGCCGCTCCACCAATCCCTACCAAACTCGCCTTGCTTAGGGCCCAGCTAAAAAACCTGTTGAAAATCTTTGAAATCGGACAATAACCACGCCCACCTCCCATATACATAACTGTAATTTACAGAAACACGAAAACTGCGATAAATCAGTATGTAGTTATTGAAACTAATTCACTCAAAATCGACGGTTGCAATAATCACTTAGCCCACTTTACGACTACAAAGGTCGATCTCGGTAACCGCTTTATCGATTTCTACCAAATCTTATTCAATGATTTCATTAAGTCAGCATATTATCGAAAACGTTTGAAATCGGAATAAACGCATCCCTGCTTATCATGCAAAGGTAGTTGAGAGAAAGTTGAAACGACGATATTTGATAACTGCGCCGGGTATATAAAATTCGGTTTCGCCCGAATTTATACTTCTTTACTTGTTGAATATACTTTTAAGATATAAAATATAAACAGGAAAGACAGACCTAGTACTTGTGAAGAACTATACGACTCCGGATTTCACCCTAAGCTGGGAAAGCGAGCATCCAGCTGAAGAAATCCTTGCATGTGCTTTATAAATGCAGAAAGATGCTTAGCTGTAGCTGATGCCCCGCCTTACGTTAGGCCGATTCTATTTCATGAATTGGACACCAAAAAATAATAGAACCTTTCCCAACGGAGTAGAGAGCCTGTATAGTAGGGATAAGCATACTTCAGTACTTTTGTATTGAAAGTACCAGTTTGCATACTAAACATACAAATACGTAAATACTCAAGTAAAACAAAAAACTGGGTTTTTAGGTTAGATTAGGTTATTGTTAGATACCAAAGTGAAAACAATTTAATTATTAGCAGACGCTAAATACTCTGATTTAAGTACTCAGGTAGATGGCTAAATACTTGCAAACTAAACGGATTACGATTTATGAAAAACGTAAGACGTATTCTACGTCAAGACTAATAGCCCGAACACAATGAAAACGACGAGCTACGGACCATAGCTATCAAATTATTTTTCCACGTATTCTTATGGAGATAATTATTTAGGCGACGACAGGGCTACGCGACGACTGTGGTTGTGGCCAGATTAAATCGTTTTCTATCCAGCGACAATTAAGGTTCTTCCTCTTTTTTTATGTCAAACTCATACAAATTCATGATGTAGCTGCCGCGTTCAGAGAAATCATGTCGC